TTAATTTCAAGCAAAATAGATTTAAATACGACGAATTAACAGTGAAACCCAAGTCGGAATTTGAAATGAGTTTTTTGTTGAAACGTGTCTTGTAATTGAGCGGAAAACGTGGGTCAGAATAGTGGAAATCTCGAATCTTCTACGGGAATCCGGCACGTAGGATATTATCCACTAAATTAAATTATCCCTACCATTATCCCAAAATTAATAGGTTTGTGTACCATTAGCAAATTGCAAGTTACGTAGGTGCTTGCCTGTAGTCCTGTACAAGGTTGGTTTAGTATATGTACCTATAACAAAACCTCATAACGGCTTACTCTGCTGCCCAAACTTTATTTGGAATCACTATTTACCCCCCTGCCCTTGGAACTTGGAAGTTCCAATTTCAACAGAATAATAATGCAGGTGAAAATTGTTAAGTTTTTGTAAAAATATTTTAGTTTTAGAAGTTTTCATCTGTCTAGCGGTCTGCCTTTTAACCTATGAACGCTAATGGGTTAGCAGCTAATATTTTCAAAAAGTTTGTGGGTATCAATTAAAACAACAAAAAGTAACTTAAATATAATTAAAACGTCATACGAGCGATATGTTTTTGGCAGTTTTATTTTATCCAATATAGGTATAATAATATGGTGTTGTTGTACTTGCAAAACAACTCTTCGCAGATGTAGAGTCATCAATAACATCAATTAGGAGCTTAACATAAAGAAACTGAAGACAAGAAGTGCTTCTACGGAGTGCTCATTTTTAACAAGTTAATAGAACTCTCTAACACCGCCCTCCGAAGGTTGCCCTTTCAAAAACATGGATCCCCTAAAAGCTGTTATTGAAACGAAAACAAATCGACTTCGAGTGTGGTGTGGTGCCATCGATAGGATAAGTCGATTAATAAATCGATACCATCGATAATATTTTGTGACCCAAAAATCGATTAAAGGTACCGAGCGATAAATCAAAGTTGTTAATCAATCAAATTGAAAGATTTATGCCGATTTTCCAATCCAAATCCGTCCTTCAACTGTCAAATTTCAATCAGTTTTCGATCAAATATCCACAATAGTATTGATTAAAATAAACAATTTAAAAATGTAAACACATCGAAAACCTTGATTAGGATTGATAAAGAAAACCAGCATTTACAATGTCAATGCAAAATCAATCTTAATTCGATAAAGCCCAAAGTAAATAAAATTGATGTCAATAATTTATATAAAGTTTTAAAAGTTCTAGTGTCTGAACACTATCGATTAATTTATAACTAATTCGATTATTTTCGGCATCACTAGTCTGGAACATCTCTCCGGGATTACAGGGATCTGGCAGCACTCACAATATTATCTCATCCGGATTCATTATGGCCGCTTTTTAAAAATTCTGATATTTTATTTTCATCACGCTGCGAGGTGTGAGCGGGAAAATTACGATGACTAGATTGATTGAAAATATTAAAGTAATTCAGGGCTGCTGTTTCTTAAAGTGCTTTAGTAAAGTAGCACTTTTTATAAAGGTTTTTAGAGTGAAGAACTTCTCTAACTTCTTTTAGCTTCAAATGGGTTTAAAAATATTTTTGTAGCTGGAGAAATGTGTCCCATTTTGTTTCTTTTCTTGCTGCAAATTTCGTAGAAGCAAGAAAATTCGGGTTGATTTAAAACCTAAATAGAATTATTGCTATCTAACAAACATGTTTCTAAGTTTAACTGTATCTATAATATTTATACAATTTGTTATCCTATTTGGACTCAAACATAAAAAATATTCTATTCCACTCTATCTTTCGCAGATACGAGGTATATTTCAAGGGTGACTGACGTTATCCTAAAATTAAACTGATTTCATACAACTTTAGCGTTAAACCAATAATAGTTTCTGAGATAGCTGAGCAAATGTTTCACTTTTCACTCGTTACTGATCTTCTTGGAACCCTACGCATCGGCTGCTCCATCCTAAGATAACTGAGCAGCACCTCATCAAATATGCTCAGTTAGTTTTACAATATCAACTCAAACACATCCAACGAAGCGGTTACTTGCGAAATATTTTAAAGGGATTCTATAGGTCTAGGTCTTAGCTTAGAGACTTCAAATGTGCTTCAGATTTGTATGCTGTCACGTCGTCAAAATAAGTCAATGCAATATATCAGGCACTAGACTAGTTAAGCGCTGACTTACAGTATCAAAGCTACATTAGAATAGATTAAAAATTCCTGAATTTGTATTCCTAAATTAGGTATAGTGATTTAGAATTTCTGGCTTAGTTAATTATTTTGAAATGGTAGGTAGTCTGGGTTGTTGCTAACATTATGAGCACTCGTACAATCGCAGAACAAATTAAATTCCTAATTCAACTTTTGTTCCTCTTCAATATAGCATAATGCTTTATACCAACTTAAATGTTTAGGTAGGTACATATTAGAGTAATGAAATATCTAAATAGGTACAGAGTGGGCACACATAACAAACAATAAGGGTTCCTTGTCAGGTCTAAGAAACCCTAAAAAGCACGTTGTTGTTTCATGAAACGCTCCATAAAATTTATGAAAATATGCACATTTTCTTACCACCTACACGTCCCTACCTCGAACGTTTTCAAGTAATCAAGAGTTGCTATTTAAAAAAAAACATCCACCCTGTACAATAGACAATATCGATTTCGCGAATCGAGAATAATCTGTAGACAAGACAGTAGACACTCTCAAAAGTTCATTCATCTTTAAAGATCAAAATCCTTTCCTAATATAAGACGGAGAAATTGAAATCTTGCGACATCAAGTCTGGTATTAATGGTAGGTATGCATTGAAGAGATGGTAAATGAATTTATTGTAATTAAAATAACGTAGTATTTTTTTAATGGAGAATCCTGGTTCGACCTTCAGGTACCTATTATAAAATAACAATACGTCTAGACAGAATTTCACGACCATATTGTAATCTTTCCTCGCTATTCTCGTTCATTCCCATTATATTGGACTTAACTACTGATAAATAGACCGTATTACATAGAAAACTAAATTAAATTTAGCTCATTGGTTTCGTTCAATCCATTCCAATCCCATAAGCGGCGTTCCGGTCGAGGCGCCGCGCTCAATGGCGCCGTAAGCCACTCGCCATTACAAGGCCCTCCATTTTGCTCCATCGGATCTATTGTACCTGCGCTGCTGACATAGTCTACGGAGGTGGTACTCAACATGTGGATCACAAACCCCTAGAACTTTCCTAAATTGAATAGATTGTTAGCTTACCTTCCATCTTAGGCTAAGAACTTATGGCGCGATTTTCACCTGCGCCCGCAGCTTCTGTAGAATGCAGATACTTATGTAAAAACTAATGCACAACTCACGACGCGGTTTTCGCCCGCAGCGGGCGCGGTTGTAATCGGGTCCCGCTCGGCGGTTTTCGCCCGCACGACCAACCGCGCGAAAACCGCCCGATCGGCGGGCGACCATTTTGTACCAGTGACTTGGCACGCAGCACGATTTAAAATCGCGCCATGAGTTCTTAGAATTACCGCACAAATAACCGCTCCCGTGATTTTGAAATAAAACCGCAATTCCACCACCGCCGCGGGCGCGGGTGAAAATCGCGCCGTGAGTTCTTAGCCTTAGGGCCACAGCAAACATGATACTTTTAGCTTCGGTGGTCTGCGATTTTGCGATTGTAGGTAACGATGCAGCATCGTGATTTCGCGACTTCGTGTGTTCGGAGGTGGTATCGGAATCACGCGTTTTAGCGACTCTATTGATGCAGCAAAGCGATTTCGCGAATTCATGCGTCCAAACGCGGTATCGAAATCGCGCGTTTTAGCAACTCTATCGCTACGTCCATGCTAGCTCCAGCTTCCGAAAAGCGACTTAGTCGCAGCGTTTGGCATTTTTAAGTATGCGGTGTAAGAATATGTGGTAGCTGCATTCGCTACATTCACTGATCGCCAATGCGAAGTAGCATGACGTGTCCTCAGGCTCTTATTTGTAACATTTGAGGTTATTCTCTCTTAAAAACTCTTATTTGTAACAACTTAGTTACATGGATTGTAAGAAGGTTGGGTACACTTTGACGCCCATCCGTGGAAGCAGGCTAAGTAAGTCTCTGGGAACTAGTTAGCTCTGTAAAAGCCCACAATGCAAAACTCTCTAGCTAGGATGCCCTAGCAGTCGTAGAAGAATTATTAAGATTTAGTACATATGCCCTCAATGTAACTGTTTGTTGTCCCAAATAAAGAGAAAAAAAAAGTCATTTCGGCTAATGTTTTCAGCAACTAAGTTTCTATCAAAATAGTTTACTTGTTGAGGACCTATGTCTTCCATAGTTCTATACACCACAACGTGTGTCGTGTGGTACCCAACACAAGCATTTCAATGCGTCTTCACGCTTGTGTAGAAAGCATAAACTGATTACAGCAAACACTGTCTTTACATCTACAGGTACGGTTCTAATACCACAAGGATGTATTGTCTTCGTGTGTTTGGTTTCAGGTAGGTGTTTTGTGTGTAGAAATTAATACAGACTAATACTCTACACGATTTCTATTGTGAAGTATAGAAATGGATTCATATTACTACAAATATCTAAATAGGTAAGTAGGACTAAATGTAGTACCCAAGGTAATTTTATTGTTTGAATTTTGGAGATATTGTCTGAAAGATTATAAATGGTGTGATAATATTTTATTGTTATTTATCATACAATTTAATACACAAACAGGTGTTTTAACTTAATGCATAGTACAGGTTGTTACTTAAATATGAATAATTGAAGTATAATTACAGGTAATTGCTATTAATTTATCAATATAATTACTGCCAACTAATAATTGTTATACATACAATACAAGCGATGGTACTCTACATAGGTAATGTGAATTTGAATAATTAGGATATTGACATTTCATCTACCATAATTAATTTTTAATAATTTACATAATTCGTTGCTTCCTGACCAATTTCTAGTATAGGCAATTGCGACAAAAGATAAAAACCGTTTACTGTTATTTTCAGCAACTGAATTTAATGTCTTTAAGAAATAATAATTTTTACATTTTAAATATTTCGCCTTATTGAATAATGTAGTAACATGTCTTATTTTAAAGCTAAAAGTTTCAGCATTCTAAGACCCTAAACAAATAACATGTACATCGCAGAACGCAGAATTAGTTTAATTAATATCTACTCTTGGTAAATCTACGAAGTCTTCACGTGGAGTTTTGAGTCTGCAACATACCAAAATAAATACAGTTATGGAGATAGAGATGAACATTATGGATAAAGACGACATTTAACTCTAGTTTGTATAACTAGGGGTATAAGATGAAGTATAAGAACCTTTCTGAAAAGAGTTCTAATTAATCTAATGTTCTGGTGAAATTGATAATGTCAATTTAATTGCAATTGTTCAATAGACATAGCATGAAAAACACAGTAAGCGACAGCGGCATGTATTTAAACTATTAGTACTAAGCGACGTAGGTGAAAACTGTGACAATTAAAAAAAAGCTCATATCTGAAATCTAGTGCTACTTTTCATAGCGCTACATTAATCTTGTAACCTTGTTGACAGGTTGTCGTTTTCTTGGTAGGTTTTAAATGAAATTTATTCGTCAAGAGGCCTACAATGAACACGCTAAGGTCATCATAAGCTACTTAATTTTAAGCGAGGTCTTTCAAGACTACGTCGATAACTAGAAACATTTTGGAAGCCTCCATACACAATCACAACTTTTAAGAATAATTAGAATGTACCTACCTACCTACAGCTCGAGCTCGCTACTTTCCGTAAGGACAAAAATGTCCCGTGTTCCTGCAATATTGATCAAGTGTTCATTTAAATTAAACAATTAAAACTACGTCGGACTCACTGCTAATGAGCCTCACTGGCAAATAGTTCCCATTACTTCACTCCCCAGGTAGATTAGAATGAGTTCGATTAATGCTTTCGACTTCATCCTCCTTTTTAATTTGCTATAAAAAGACAAAATAGTGATGGGATTTTTCTATTTTCAATCTGTTACAGAGTGTTTTTAATCTACATTGTTGTTAATATTGCAAGCTGCGTAATTTCAGATCAGGCATTATTCATTCTGATTAAATTGTGGAGTCTTAGATTAGGTATAGTTTTCACTTGCTATTTATTTATTTATTTTGTTACAGCTACAATTAGCACAGTTGTTAATGATGCGTGTATGTATCAGAATAAGTAAAATCGTTTTGTGTATATCTGAAAGTTTAATATTAATGATTAAAAGTAATTAAACTACGTTGCGGTTGGGCTATTAAAATTCATCAACGATTGAACAGCAAAGTAACCACAACGCAAATTGTGGTGAATCAATTTATGTAGCTTTTCTGGACCACAATTATTTTAATTCGTCCAAAGCGCAACGTTAAGTTCGAATATTATTTTGAACCATTTTACCACCAAAAGTGATCAGCAAAAATATAATATCCTCATTGTGAAACTATAAGCAATAAATGCTGAGTACCTATTGAGTATTAATTATTATGTGCGAGGTACTCTTAATTCAGTAATTAAGCCTATGTTCAGCAGTAGACGTCCTATGACTGAAATGATGATGATGATTCTTAATTTGGTTGACTATTTAGAAGACGATAGTGATTCTTAATTTGGTTGACAGGTATTTAAAAAACTTAATGCCCGTTTTCACCATCAATCCCCAATTTTTAAGTGACCCCCATGGTAACAAATAGCAAGAATTTTGTTGTCACTTAAAAATTAGGGATTAATGGTGAAAACGGGCATTAGTGACTCTACTAATTATAGCACGTCACAGCGCCATGCTCGAAATACCCACAATCAAATATGACCAATAGACCTTATGAATATAGTGATAGAATTGAAAATAGCTTACGCATAGTAAGGATCCTGCTTCCCCTGCAGCATCATGGAGAGAGCAGTTTTCGAACTCCTCTTCTCATCCTGTCCAAGTAATTCTTTACTCAGCATGTGATCTGCAAATATACAAATTATGATTAAATAGTAAACTAAAATACACAATAGTTTTGCGTTTCTACAAACATAGGTTAAAACATTTACTTCGATAACTGACAATCTTAATTTATTGTCCGTTGCGTAAACCCCTTGGACATGGCAATCGACCCTTGGGGCTTGATTTAGATCACTGTAAGTACCTATCACAGGCCTACGAGACCAAACTAGACAAAGACAAGACATCAGTCTCACATTACTCGAAAATTAAAACCTTAAGGGAAGTATTCAGGAAATACATAATAAGTTAGTTCAGTCTGTCTGCTTGTGACCACGACTTCAGCTTAACAGCCGAAACGTCAAACCGTGAGTACATAGGTATGTTGTAACTCATATAAAAACGTCGCGTAGAGACCCGTGTTTCTCTAGTATTGAAGTTCAAATGAAACGCGGAATTTTAAAATCTTATACTTAATAATTTTTTAACATGTTTTCCTTCCACTGCCGCCTACATCCACTTAACGAAATACTCGTATTAAATAAGAACGGACATCATCGCATCAGTTTCACACTGGCATATACATATATTGAGACAAATAAATACTGTCTATCCATCTATCTTATGTAGTTTTAGTAAGTGCGATTTTGCTACAAAAATGAACCTACAGTCTTAATATGTGCTAGCGACTCTACACTCTACATTTCATAAGTGCGATTTTACTACAAAACCTACAGTCTTATTAAGTGCTAGCGATTCTACATCCAACTCCGCGCTAGGCGTATGTTGCTATTGAATCCGCAGACAGCATCCTGATAACCATCTCCCCCGGATATTAACACGTTGGAACACAGCATTCCTACTTCGAGGGCTGGCTGGCTACAGAAATGGAGCCAAGATTGCGAGTGCAATAAAAAAATAAATGCTAGTTTTCATTTGTTTTTGGCAAGTATTTTTTTCAAAAGAGCACACATTTATAGTTAGCGCAAGGAAAAAGTTTCTCCCCAATATCTGAAGTAGCTAGCCAAGATCAGATTCCACTCGTAACTACATAGACAATGGAACGATATCGATAAAGAATCGATTTTAATTAGATAATGTCGTTGTTATTTTTTCAATTGAGGATATAGCAAAGCAAACACAACTTTAATTCTATGATCTTTTTCTATTACTAATATTTCATAAGGGCGCTAGTAGATCACTGAATTATGCTTGTATTCAGTTTTATTGTAACAGAAACGGTGAGAACTGAGAATAATTGTTGCTCTATTTCCAGCTAAGTTCAATCAAAGTTTAAATTACCTTTAACGCCCTTTACCTACAATTTACAATTTCAAAGACTCACTCTTTCTTTAATTCGTAGAATTGTTATTAATATTGAGTCAGATGAAGATAAATTCTGTGCTAATGTACAAAATGTGTTTCAAATGGAGAAGTTCTAAATGGGTTTTGGAAATTATTAGAGCGAAAAATTTAAATAGGGCTTCTTAAAACTTTGAATAATTCATGAAACCTCGTTTTAGTTTCAAGTATTACTTACATTTGCAATTTAATTAGAATCAGGTTGACTATGCCTATTTAATGAAGTTCCGAACAATATTTTATCCTAGTTAAAACTTCTCCGCCCTTGAATTTCTTCAAAACAAAATGAATAACTTATCAAGAATTTTCCCCGCTTTAGGTATTCATCATTAATAGGACGTCCACTACTAAACCTAGGCCTCCTTCAATAATTTCCAGATTAGTAGCGGCCTGCATCCTGCTACCATTATAAGGTACTAGCGGCCGCCCGCGACTTCGTACGCGTGGATCCCATTTCCCCCGTAGGGGTAAGTTTCGTAAAATCCGTTCTTGGTAAGCACCTACGTTCTAAAAGGAAACCCCATGCAAAATTTATGACTCCTAGCACTTGTAGTTTCTGAAATTTCGTGATGAGTGAGTGAGTCAATCAGTCAGTGACCTTTCGCTTTTATGATAATATAGATAGATGATATCTTTCCTTAGTACCTATTGCTTAATTTTAAATTGAGACCGTCTTACGTCACACGGTTTGCACCTAAATGTGCATTTAAAATACTTGTAAAGACAACCCTAGCATACATTTCAGATCGATATTCCATACGATACATACTCTTGAAGACGTTGCCGGTCCTCTTCCTGTACTCCTGCTCGATCGCCGGCAGCAGCCCCGGATATAGCTGCAGCGGGGTGCGGTAGAAATCTAGACAGACCGAAAAATAGCTTATTTTTAAAGAGTGAAACCTACTCGCTCAGTAGGTTTCGACAATGGAATAGGTTTTATTTAATTGCTGGCTGGCATAGACGAAATGTCAAAAAAAGTAAAATAATAATGCTTTATTTTTTTTTTGTAAACCGAGCGTTCGAATTTCAAAATATTGTTTTATACACATCGGTCAGTGACGCTTTTATGCCAGCAAAAAAAATATATTGACTTGCAAAATGTGAATGTTTTGAAATTATTATGAGTAGTAAATTATATTAAGGACTGGATTCAATTTAAAAAAGTAACTTTCTTGTCAATAGCACGATTTGTATTAACCTCTCTTGAAGGTCAGTCAGATACCTATTGCTGTTGTAGGCAATATTTCTTTCTATTATCTCTAGTATCTATTTATGTCATAAATTGTTTCTTATTTACTCAAAAACTAAACGGATTCGGATGAAACTTTACAACTTCATTGTTACGGCATCAATGTAGCACAAAGATTACAATCAGCTAAGAACTACCTACACTTTGAAATAACACACAATGCACTTGCACAAGCACATAGAGCAATTGCATCAATCTTATCAACGTGCGCAAACAATTTTAGCACCACAATAAATACTCACAAAGCATCCTTTCGCCTGGCGAAGGCCCCTCCAGCATCGCCTCATCAGATCGCGCGCGTAAATAATCTGAGTAATTAAGAAAAAATCCAATTAACTCCACTCACACTAGGAATGTGCAATCAAATGGAGCGAAGGAGAAAACCCTGAAACAGCTGATTTATAAAAAAATATTTTGTTGAACTAGATTTACTGTTCAGTTTATGAATACTGTATTTGCGGGTTACTTTAACCCTAGGCAGGACCCACCTCTTCATATCAATAATTCGTCAGGGCAATTTTAGATAGGGTTACTGACGCCTATTTATTTTTAGTCGGTTGCAACTGTTGCAAGATAGTTTTCTCAATTTCAATCCTTTTTTGTTGAGCCAATGTGGGAAACATTGAATGGTTAGGGCTAATGCTAAAGTAACCTGCATTATCATCAGATGACAATAAAGGGATAGGTGAATCCAGATTGTACTACTCAATAAATATACTTAGGTTGAAACGCCAAAATCATTATTTAGGCAATTTATTTATTTATTTATTTATTTATTTATTTATTTATTTATTTATTTATTTATTTATTTATTTATTTATTTATTTATTTATTTATTTATTTATTTATTTATTTATTTATTTATTTATTTATTTATTTATTTATTTATTTATTTATTTATTTATTTATTTATTTATTTATTTATTTATTTATTTATTTATTTATTTATTTATTATTAGCCATACACAACAAGTAACAATCACAAATAATATATAAAGAAAGTAACTTATTAAAGAAAGAAATTGTATTACTAGAAAAAGATCTGTTCCACACAACCAGTGGAGAGGACAATAAAATTAGTTATTTGATTTAAAAAAAATGTAAAAAATCCTTCAGTGTTTGTTTGAGCATGATACAATATCATGATTTCAGTAATGTCTGTCTATAAGTATACGCTATTATTTAGATATTTCATAAATCTTAAATAGTACTTACAGCATAATATAATTACAACACAATCAACTTGCTCCAAGCAACATAAAAATCGAAGAAACTTTCCGCCGATTAATATTAATTTCACTCTAACTCAGCGGTAATATGAAAACATGAAAGTATTTGGTTATATGATGGAAAAATACTAAAGAAAACCAATTATTTGTTTACATTGTTATTGTACTGATCACTTCTATGTTTTCTTTTTATTATTATACTAGATATTAACATACAGGACGAGCCAAAGACTTATTAACTACCTTGGGACCAACAATGAAATGCACTGCTACATTTAATTACTATTAGACAAATAAGTAGTCAAATAGGGGATATGCATCGATTTTAAAAGTTAGTAAATTATGTATAAATAAATAAACACTTTAGTAAAATCAAAAAAATTCTGAAAACTAGTATTGAAATCGGACTGGAAACAAAAAAGTTACAAGTGTTTAAACTTTGTAGGTATGGAAATAGCTGAGGGTGACGTCAAATGTCACCCGCCCATAGTAACTTGTATGGGACTCTACGTGTCGTTTTAACATGACAAATGACGTCATGAGATCGTAGGTATCTTTTGAAATTTTTGTTTAAGAAAAGCACTGATTAATTAGATAATGCCAAGGCTACTGAAATGTGAGAAATAAAAAACCTTATTTAATTTATTAATTGCTTATTCCCTATTCTGCCCAACAATCCGTTCGAACCTAATGAGGGCTATCGTTTTAGCGCTCACCAGTTAGCGCCACTACTGTAGAGTAAGGTCCTGTCACTTGCTAGTAGCGAAGACAGTGGCACCAACTGGTGAGCGCGAAAGTGGTAGGAGGACTATTGCATTTGCACTCATCAAAATGGCGCCACTGTAGAGTAAGGTCCTGTCAATCGCCAGGGGTGCCAACTGTTAAGTATAAAAATGATAGCCCTCATTAACACAACCAGAACAATGGCGTTGAAAGCGGTCTTTAGGCATTAAAGAGCAGGCGTCGTTTTTCGATCGAGTGCGGAATCGCAACGGATCGGCATTTTATTAATTAAACCCTGCAACTGATCGGACGATCCATGCAAACGTTCGCAGGTCTTAAGGTATTTTCTGTGTCTGAAAATAGCTCGTTTTGTTTCTATCTATATTACGTCAGAAAAGATTATCACTTTTATCTTCCGTCTTTAATAGGCTAGTTTCCTAAAAAAAATTTTTTAGTCTGTCAATTTTAATATCGAAAAATACATTTTTAATTGTCACACAATACTATATTTTTAATTGTCAACCAAACAAATAATTACAAAGTTATGGTGCGTTGAAGTTCAGCGCGACGTCACAAAGTGCTGCATTTTTAAGCACTCACTGACGTCACGGCCCTTTACTTTAGAACTTTGGCATGCTTTATCTCTTTACATTTTCATTAGTTTCAAAAAGTGAAAAATACGTGTTGAGTATTTTTTGATAAGCTAACTGACGGACTAATTAAAACTCCTGCTTTTTTACCCAGGAAAAATCCCTATTATCTGTCTGAAAATAACGATGTAGACAAAATTGTTTTCACGCACCTAGGCAAATTGAAATCACAGGTAGATACTACTTGGCCTTCAAGTTTGGCAGGTTTCCAAGACTACTAAGACGTGATTGAGGATCACTCCATTATTCCTCGAGCAGAATTTTGAAGACTACCTAGTAAACACAATTTGTACCGAATCTAAATTGAGATATTCCTATTCTTGAAAACTAATACATTTTCTACACGTGCTGCTCTACAATGAAACCCAACCAGATGAGGTTAATTCGCGACGAATTTAATCAGAAGAATATACGAGCAGTTCTAAATATAATAGAGACTTCCCTCCGTTGCAAAGCGGGAGACAGATGATTGTAATATACTCAACATCAAATAAACCGCACCTTCCGCGACGCGAACTTTAACGATTTTCTTCTGACACAATCATGGTGCCCCAACAATATTGATGTTATTTGAAAGCCCAATAAATATCCTTAAAGAAAAACACATTAATTTCTTAATAAATGATTAACATATACCACAATTAATGTGACTTGAAAAAATACCTCACTTTGGGCCCACCTATGGGATCAATTAGACCAATTTTTATGGTTATAAAACCAAATAATGATCTCACGTGTCCTCTTTAACAGATGGATAGCGATTAATCACAACTTAACAGTTTTATAGCCATAAAAGTTGGCTCAAGCGTAACTACCTATTTTTTGAAGAAGTGACTCTGGATCCTTCCCTAGACACATTTTTGGGGTAAAAACCTTTCTTTTAATGAAATGAAGGTTAGAACAAGGCTTTTAAATGGTGCCAATATTGGTGGGAAGTGGGGATGCAATCGTTTGAAAATGCTTTTCGCGGGAGGTGCGATTTATTTGATGTCGAGTGTATTTGTTTGTAATGTAAGCTGTAAAGGTATTAAATGTAGCGCACCTTTATAATAATTGAAGCCATCCTTCCCAAGTTCGGAGCATCGAATAGAAGCCACTGCAAGAAGCGCCAGCACTAATACGATTGTTTCCTTCATCTCGATTGTTATCAAACCGACCAGTTATCCAGCATGTCCCGCTACCGAGATCCGAGCACTGGCTGTAAGGGGCGCATCATGCCTTTTTATAACTCCACAAGTTCTTTAGAGGCCTGTGCGTGACGTCTGTAGGGTGTACCCAGTTTGATTCCAGACGGAGACATTTTTTAAGATCGTAATTTATGATTCAATAATGCAAATATTAAAATTGTAAGGCCCTAAGTTAAGTTCTAGTGATATTACGGTGAGACGTAGTCCTTAACAAAAATACAAATACTATTGTCTTGCAAAATTAACTTCTCCAGAATTTGAACCATTAAACGCTATCAAATCCCATTTAGAGTGATATTAAAATTCTCCAAAACGCCTAAATCAAAGATATCTCGAGATTTATTTCAGAGAAGAGAACTAAAATATAAAGCTGGGGGCCGGCTTACGCAAATTCGATAGAGATCGCGAGATTAAGGCCGTAGAATTTATGATTAATGTCTATTTTAAACGTAAAATAATAAAAGATTTCTGCAAAATATAACAACGAAAGCGAAATGCGAAAAAAGCAAAATAAAGATAAAGTAAAAAAACAAAATTGTAACCAAAGAGGATTGTAACGCTAAGCTACGTACTCAACACATAACGAAGCACATCGCACGGCTGGCTGCCGCATTATTTTTTATAGGCACTTCACAGGGAAATGCCATTAGGTAAAATAAAAAAGTTAATACGCAGTGAAGCTACCTCATGCAAAGAGGTAGGTAGGTGAGTATAAACTGGCAGTGAAATCCGTAAAGGGCGCTTCCCACCGCGTCGTTGCAGGCGACACGGCTCTGCGGGGCGCTCGCTTAGCTTGCGAATGTTTCAGACAACCGGAGCGTATTTTTATTTTATAGAACTCTATGAAGGTTGTTCCGTTCCCTCTTTTGTATAACATGTTTTGTAATGCCGGCTATGTACCTGGCAACTCAATGCTACTCGAAATATCACGTTCCATGCTGTTTATTACAATTTACGCACACAACAGCCGGCACGGATATAACCGCTACGATTAACGTGAACACACAAAAACCGAGACTGTAAAGCGGTTTATCTAAATGTTATTCCGCAAAACATTTTCTTTTCAAACGAAAACCCATTTGTGGAATGGCGTGACGGTTGCAATTTAAAATGAACCGCTTACAAATTTCGCCGGCCGCAAACTTTGGGTACACCTGAAATGGTTTAAAATTCAAAACGTCTCATTTTTAAATGCACTGGCGGAACAGAAATGGCCGGATTTCTGACGACACTTGAGCCGAGGCTTTCAGCAAATGAGCGACGCGCGAACAAAGGAGGCCTTTCGCCTCCTCAGGTCTTAGTGCCGACCACAGCAACTTGGCCCGTCGCACTACTCACGGAATGTACCCAAACAACGTCTGGCCCTCTAACCGAGGCAACCCCTGGAGTTCTAATTACAGTGGTCATTCTAAAATCGGCGCTGCACATTCTCAGCGCTGGTAATTATTGTAATCGCATTTCATTTTTCATTTTTTATGTACAGGTTTAAGTGGGCTAAGTTTTTAACTGCCCTTTTTTGTTGGAAACGATTTTCCTACCAGCGAATTTTCTTAGACTTGGAATATTATTTAGATAAACATTTAAATTTTCCACCTTAACTTTAAGGTAGTAACCAAGTTTACCTGTAAGTAAGTATAGAATTTCGTAGAAGTTACCATTACCGTCTATTAAACTTTACATTGAAGTAGGTATTTCCATGAACTACGAGAATTGATGACCATTAAGTACCTACCTACCTACTTCGTTAAGTAACTTCTATGTAGGAAAGTTATTACTCACCTGTGTGCTTACCATGAGTTTACGTTAGGTGTGCTCGCTAGCGAATACGTCAAAAAAATCTATGAAGATTTTATTTCTTGAAAGTAGCCGCTAGGGGCGCTGCACAATATGTCATACATTTAATGTCATTTTTTTACGTAGTCGCTAGCGAGCACACCTAACGTAAACTCATGGTAAGCACACTGATCTTTCGTAGCAAAGACCCGGTAGAACTCATATTTGATAGAAAGGTAGTTAATGTAAGACCAAACAAATAGTAAGTGCAGTACCTATCGTATTTTTATGGGTTCCTTATTTTTAGAGTTTTGTGATCCAGCGTCCTGCCGTTGATTTAAGTGTAAAATCATGTTCAAAACGTACCCAAATGTTTTAAATTCCTTCCTATGTTTGCCATTAGCGTTCACGTAGCGCCATTTGTTTCTTATTGTACTCGGTGAGAGTAATTAAAGTTGATCCGTCTGTCGAATTCATTAGCCTCAGTTTCGGTGATTCAGACTTTGGAACAGCGCAGTTTAATCAACTTTATGCGAACAAGATAAAATTGATGTTTTTCGGCAACTTGAATGGGGGAGTGATTTTTTTAGAGCTTCGGGGATAGTCATTTGTCTTAAAGATGTTTTGGACGGTTCTTTTACTTACCTACCTTTCTCAATGAGGTTTGGACTTAGGTAAAACCTGGCGATTAAGTAGGTAGACAATTTAATAAGACCATATAATATTCAATATAATATTCAAATATCAATAATATTAGTTTAATTTGAGGATTGTACACTTCCGCATCCTCACTATAGTTTTTCTATTAGTATAATAGGTAACTTTAATTTATTATGCTTTTTATATTTCTCGAAATAAAAATCATATTCGAATGAATATTTGAGTTGAAGGACTCTACTTAGTCCCTTTTAGAACTTTTTTCTTATAATCTTTTACAGTTTTTACCTAATTTGAGAGTACTGTACCTACTCCCAAATTAAGTAAAAACTGCAAAATATTGTAAGCAAAAAGTTTTTGGGAGGCAGTTCAGGCAGTAGACGTTCTAAGTATAATGGCTGAAATGATGATGATGCAAAAAAGTATTATGGTGTTACAATATTCTTAAAGTAGGTCAACTGACGACAACAGACTTCTTCCCCGAAAATCCCAATCATTTTTGTTTCCGTCAAAATATTATCGAATCAATTTCTGGAAATTGACATTGAATTCCATTGATTTCGCGGCAGAAGGCGAATCATTCCAGGCGTTTGTCAAGCTAATGGGTTGCTAATCGCCTGTCATTGTTATGATTTATGGCGCTCGCTCCCATTGTCGGCCACCCCTTTCCTGCCTGCCCGCAAGCAGTGGCGCACCTAAGTAACCAAGGGCCCTGGGGCAAATAAAAAAATGGGGGCCCATGGCAATCTAAACTGGTAAGGTTTTATCAAAATTAAAATTAAGCTTACTTACTCCTGATACAATTTTTTAACCGTTCTATTCTCTTCATAATACGCACCCATCGCTATCCGTCAAATTTACAACACTGCCAACCCACAGAAATAATTTAGGGGAATTACCTAGATATAACTTTCGAATTTCTCTCTATTTATTTTGAAAGTAGGGGAATATTTATAAAAGTTCAGTTCAGTTGAGATTTTCTGGTTTTCGGGGGCCCTCTGAGCTTGGGGGCCCCGGGGCACCGCCCCGCCTTGCCCCTTAGTAGCTACGCCCCTGTCCGTAAGAGGCATTTGTATTGTAGGAACAAACAATTAGTTTATATCAAAAGAACCACAACAATTCTGTAGAAATTTTATATACAAAGATTTCAAAGGTACTCAAACAGAGATAACTAAAAGTACAAACTATTTAAATACCAAGAAGTGAATTGGTGACATTTTCTCAACATTCAGAAATTAAATAGGGGTTTAAATGGTTCTATGAATGTATTTCCAGGACTTAAAATATTGAAAGCACTTTAAGTTCCTGTTTTTTCATCGTACCAAGAAAATACGAGTTCCTACCTAGTACCTACTTACCTATAGAGAAGAGATAGTGTAGTGTAGGAAAGTAAGTAATCATTCTTATATGCCTAAACGTGTAGCTATTACTATAAAAATAATTGATTAGTAGGTAGGTATTACCTATCTACATAAATCTAACCATGATGAAAAATAATAAATTATGCAATCGTTTACTCAAAATTTCCATTGTTTTCCATAGATTCGCGACTATTCCCGAGCGTAAAGTCAAGTTAATGGGTTGCTAACTTGCTAATCGTCTGTCAGTGAACTGATTTATAGAGGTTACTGCTCCCTTTGTTGATTACCCTTTTAATGTGTGCCTTGTAATGGACTGTTTTTGGTGGCGATCAGATTAGTAGTTTTATAGGAATTAGGTAGGTACTTTTGTTAAATTACTAGGTGACTAGAGAAACATTAATCATAATGATTGTGTGTGTACCTATCAATACGTAGCATTAATCTAGAAATCTAGAATCACCAATAGCTCAACTGTTTTGTCATGGACTGCTCATTCGATAGGTAGGTTTTTAGCTGAACTATTTAAAAAATAGATACTAGAAAGCTTGTTCCATCAGTGTGGGTACCATAGAGGAATTAACTCCTCTATGGTAGGTACAGTCCGTCTTTGTTTCAATTGGAATAAGGTTGTGTCGTCAACTTTTAGGCCAATTTGGTTAACACGAACTATTATTTGACGCTGACTGTAACATAATGTAGGTAAGTATCTAATCTCCTATCTAATCTCAATGATTCCCAAACACGTCAATCTTTCAAATTGACGCGCCATGAGAAGGAATTGAAGCTACGATGGAATTGCGATCAGTGATTTGGCCAATGATCATGCCACAGTGTAATGGAATACCTAAAAGCTAAACAAATTGACTGTAAAATATCCGCTGCGAATTTTTTGTGAGGTGGGTAATCAATGTAGAGCTGTAAAGCGTTATCCATTCTATGGTAGAGCCTAATCTCTTTTTTATAATAAGGCAACCTTAATTTAGAATAAGGTTTATGTTTTTTTTAGATGCCTGCCTGACTTGTACTCTGTAGACTTCACTAGTTGGGTTTTTATTGGCAGTCAATCTGGAGATCCCAGCTATACACAGGAGATGCAGCAGTGGGAACGAGAGATGGGAATAGTCTCGAAATTACTCTGTAGTCTGGTCATGGGATTAGACACCACAGTCAATTAAGAAGGTTCTTTATTTCCAAGAGCCATGC